GAATTTATACATATATTTTAATATTTTCAAACCATGGATGTTTGAACCAATGGATAAAGAATCTGTGGATATGAAAGACTGACTGTACTGTTAGTGCACACTTCTTGTTCTAAAGAAGCAATCCAAATCAGGAAACATTAGGTATTGACAGCACTGCTTCAAAAATCACTTGGAGGCATCACTATGTTCTGCTCCTGCTATTTTTGCCAAAGCTGTCATCTGTGTGGCCTCCTCCACCTCCGAATAGGAATGTGAAGGTGTGCAAAGCTTTCAAAATTGCCACCATACTGAACTGTGTGTACAAAATGTGTGTATAGTGATGTCCATCATTACGTAAACCATTCAAATCCACTCGTACACTGAACAATACAAAACTCATCTATTCCCATGTAGATATGCCATTTAAACATCCCCACAGCTCTTGTCTCCATGTCTGTCCTACTGATATATTTGTCACCCCACCTAGGTTGATAAGAAACACTTCCAAGAGTTATCTTAATTTCAGCATCAGTAAGGGTGAGTCAACCTATTTCCAGTCTGAGATGGAGACAATTATTTGACAACATCTAGGAATCCTTTCTAGACTCTTCGTTGTCAATGCCCATTCTATTGGTTACTGCTTTGGTCTCCTTATTCTACATATGATATGTAATTAGTACAATTAGAATAGTGTCCTGCTTTTAAGAAAAGCCAAGATTCTTGCTATATACTTCAGTCAGGATATTTAAAACCAAAAAGCATATACCTGACAAGGGTGATATGGTTCTAATCTTGCATTATTGCAGTAGTAGGTCTTATAGGACTATTATATGCAAAAATAAATCCTACTAAATTTAAGCATAGTGTATCCTCAGGCTGAAAACTGCATACTATGGTACTTTATGTCATAATACATACAGTGGTGTTTGGCATCCAATGTACAGGGTTAAAATGTACAGGGTTGTGCAAAGCATAGCATCAACTTACAAGTACTTTTGCCACTTTTTTAAAAAAACGGGTAGGAAATCCTCCTTTTTTTAGTTCAAAAATTTGCAGTATTATTTCCAAACTTGAAAATATTACACCAGTGCCTACTGTTATTAAGCAGTTACTATCAAATATGAAAAGTAATATGAACATCAATACCAGATAAATATTCTGAGGAACAACAGGGGGAAAAACACAATTTCATTGTATTCCACTTAATTGGTAGAGAAGTAAAAGCAAAAAAGAAAAATGTGATTATGGCTTCCACTAAATTATCACCTGCAGCACATCCATAAGAAACAAATATTTTTTCATGGCAATTATGTTTCTCTGATTTACCTACGCCAGTAAAACTCATTCAGTCAACCAAATTTATAAGCACACAATATCAACTAAAAGCTAAGTTCATTATGAAATCATTTTACTTATGCAAAGAAACGCATTTGGGTGTTAGGGGACACTGAGCAATCTATTACTCATAAAGAACTCACAAAGATAATAAGGGGAAGATCTTTTAAAGACAGTGGCCCCATTCAAATACAACTATAAACCAGGCTTCTGGATAAGGGTGGTTTATTATGAACCACCACTCCTTCTTCTGTGTCCAAGTCTATTTTTCTTATAATATGTTCTGCATACAAGTTGAACAGATAGGGTGAAAGTATGCAAACTTGTCTGACCCCTTTGCCAACTGGGAACCATTCTGTTTTTCTGCGTTCTGTTCTGACAGTAGCCTCTTGTCCTGAGTACAGATTCCTCATCAGGACTATCAAATGTGTTGGCACTCCCCTGTCTTTAAGGGCATTCCATAGCTTTTCATGATCTATGGAGGCAAAGGCTTTGCTACAATCTATAAAGCACATGCTGATTTTCTTTGGAATTTGCTGGTGCGCTCCATTAGCCATCATATCTTTGCAATGTGATATCTAGTGCCTTTTCAGAATATCAACAATCTAAGATATGCAGATGACACCATAATACTAACAGAAAACCTCACGGACCTGGAACACCTA